ATATAAGAGATGGATAACTAATTTACAAATATTAAAGACATTACTTAAATTAGTTATTTGCTATAAATGACTGTTGTTTTTCATAAAATGTTTGTGTTAATCATGTGTATTGAAAATATCATTTGATCAAAATTCTTTAACATATATAATTATCATCAGAATTACTTTGGAAAAGAATGGATAAATTTTAATGATAGAATAGATTAAGTTCTTATATCTAGGACCAAATTGAATATCCAACTAGCTCTTATATTAAGAATAGGAGGTAATATAAATTATAAGTCAAATAGGAAATATATAAGTCAAATTGAATATCCAACTAGCTCTTATACAAGGGAGTTTTTGCATTTGGACAATATCTTTTGAAAACTAGATTTTGGAAGAATGGATTTTGAAAATATATTTTTGAAAGAAGTGATTTTGATAAAGTAAGAATATTTGGATGGTTGTTATCAGAATTTTTTTTTTCATGTGTAAATTACTAAAGAGGATATAAGTTAATATGATAATTAGATAAAAGATAGATTTTAATTCATATTTTTTTGAAATAATAAATGACATAAAAATAGAATTAATTAATATTACTTCCGGTCTTAGGAGGTGTTTGGGTACTTCTTCAAACCATGGTTTTGAAGAGAAAACCATGGTTTGGAGGAAAAAACACCCAAACACCATATATTTTCTCAAAATCACTTTTGATTTTAAAACTATCGTTTCGGGTATAAAATTATGGTTCCCCATAAAGTGAATTTTTTTTTTAAACTTTTGAAGGTATAAAAATATGGTTTGAGATATAAATATAAATATATATATATATATAGACATATCAATTACTACCTCCAATCTTTAATAGAAGAGGTAGATAATTAATTTGTAAATATTAAAAAAATTAGTCAAATTATTTATTTATAATAAATAGGTGTTATATTCTCTAAAATACTTGTTAATGATGTGCAGTGGGATCAATATTTGATGTAACATTTAACATGTGCAAATTAACATAAGGACTACTTTAAAAAAAATGGATAAATGTGCGAGACAAGATAGATTGGTGTCCTATATTCAAAATCAAATTGAATACCCAATTAATTCTTATACTAAGGACTAAAGATAATATTAATTAATTATATTTTTTCATATATAATCTATTATTTACAAATTTATTATTTCAAACAAAAATAAAAATAAAAATCTATCTTTTATCTAATTATTATATTAACTTGTGTTCTTTTTAGTAATTTGTACATGAAAACAAGATTTTGAAAATAATTATCTAAAATTTCTCACTTCATCAAAATTACTTTTTTCAAAATCTATTCACCCAAAATCTATTCTCTAAAAACTATTCTTCAAACCATGGTTTGGTTCCATCCAAATATCACCTTAGAATAAGAGCTAATCCAGTGTTCAATTTGATTTTGAGTGCAAGACACCAATTACCTTGTCTCACATATTTATCTATTTTTTTCCAAAGTGGTCCTCATGTTAATTTGCAAATATTAAATGTTCTGTCAAATAATAGTTCTAGTGCATATCATTAATAAGTATTTTAGAGAATACAACGCCTATTTATTTAACTAATTTTTTTTACTATTGACATATTACTTATCTAACTCTTATTATATTAAGGATCAAAAGTAGTAATTGATATGTGTGTATATAATTTTACATTCCAAACTATGGTTTTATGCTTTCAAAAGCCCAAAAAAACTACTCTATGGAAAAACCATGGTTTTATACCCAAAACTATGGTTTTTCAAATCAAAAGTGATTTTGTAAAAATTACGGTGTTTGGTTAGTCTTATTCAACCACGGTTTCAAATTCAAAAGAGGAAAAAAAAAAAACAAATATGGTGTTGGGATGGTTTTCTCTTCAAAACTATGGTTTCAAGAAGTACCCAAACACCAGGTGAATAACTAATTTACATATATTAAAGATACCAGTTAAATTAGTTATTTGCTATAAATGAGTGTTTTTTTCCCATAAAATACTCTTGTTAATAATGTGCATTAGAACCATCATTTTTCCTTTTGATGACATAGTGGATTTGGATCTTATATTTAGGATCAAATTGAATATCTAATTGGCTTTTATATCGAGAACGATGATTAGTGTAAATTATAAGTCAAATAGGAAATACAAAGTCCCAAGTTTTTGTCTTTTTCTTCACATGAAAGCGGAATCACACTATAAATACCTCATTCCTGGTTTCACTTCCATGCAAGTTCATTTGAAGTTTCATCTCTCAGAATCTGAAAGTCCAAAAACAACTAAGCATGGCTTTCTCCATTTGTTCTAAAAAGCTGTTCCTTGATTTCTTGATCAGCGGTTCCATTCTCATTTGTCTCTCTTCAGGATTCCCCACAAAGGAATCCGTTCTCCCTTCAAAAGGAGAACAAGATTTTGGATTATTCCAACAATGGATGAATGAGCATGAAGAAATTTACCCTAACTCCGAAGAGAGTGAAGTTAGATACCGGATATTCCGAAGGAATCTCAACTATATCACAGAGACGAATGCCAAGAGATCTGGGAACCATTTGGGACTCAACAAGTTTGCTGTTATGAGTCCTGAGGATGAGTTCAAGAGAGTGTACCTCCGTCAGCTTCCGACGCCGACCGCCAACAACTCGTAGATTGCAACACTGAAACCATGGTTTTGGGTATAAAACTAATTGGTCAGATTAATTAATCGTGGTAATATTATTCCTTTTTTTTTTTTTCCCTCTGGAACCTCAGTGGACTAAAATGGATTAATATTTCATTGTTCATAGGAAGTTGTTGGGCGTTTGTAACCATCGAAGCTATTGAATCACTAGATGCAATGAGCACGGGGAGCTTGTTTCCCTTTCCAAACAAAAACTCGTAGATTGCAACTCTGAAAACCATGGTTGTTCTAACACCCCAAAATTTCTAATTCAGGAAAACTAACAAAGAAAATTCATTAAAATTATTTGATGAAGCCTAGGAAAATTTGGGGAAAATTATGGAACATTAATTTTAAGGACCTAGAAATTTTATGGAAAAGTCTATTCCCCCCAAAATGGCTTAAATAATTTTAAAGTTAATTTTGGCCGTTAAAAGGACCTATTTTCTTGAAAATTCAAGAAAAATAGTTAGAGGTTTATATTTGAGCCAAAATTTTAGAATAATTATTTTAATGATGCAAAGAAGCTAATTGAGACATAAAATCCTTAAAATGAATTAAGAATTTATTTATAGAATTAAGGGTTATTTTCTAGGAAAATTCAAGAAAAATAATTAGGAGTTGATTTTTGACTCAAACTTTTTAGAGAAATTATTTTATGAGTCAGAGAAGATAATGGAGAAAGAAAATACAAACAAAACATTATGGAAAAATTTCTGGATTCATTCTTTAATCTAAGAAGAAAATAGAGGAAGGATGAAAGTGAAAACAAAGAAAACTTAGAAGGGCAAAATGGTCCTTTCCGCACCCATATAAACTGCTATCACGCCTTCTCCCTTCTCATTTGTCATCTGCAAACTCAGAAGAAATCAGAGAGAGACAGAGAGAAAAAGTGGGAGGCGGAGAGAAGGGCGTTGCCGGCAAAGTGGTGATCGGAGGGGAGAAGTTCACATGCAATAGTGTTTTCTGACTGAGGTAAGACTGAATAACACTCTCCTACCCCTATTTCTTTTGTTTTCTACATCATGGAGGAGATTATGATAGATTAAAATCTGGGTTGTTAAAGAAAGCTATGAACCGAAAGAAATAGTGGATGGAAGATGTAGTTGGAAGCTTCAACGAGTGAAATGTGGTGATGCATTTGCTTGTTTCACCCCTGTTCATGGCTGCCGAAACATAGCTTGTGCGTTCTGGTTTATGGGATACCCATCAGGTTCAGTGGGAGAGAAGTTTTAAGAATCAAGTTGCTGAAATTTAAAAGGGAAGAAGGAAGTTACACACCCATATATATGTGCCGTTAGTGTGTAGTGTTGGTAATTAAATGGAAATCGTTATACATATACACACACATGGTGTGAATGGCGTCTGATATATAGAAATAAGGAAGAAAGGAAACTGTTTCATTTTCTTCAAAATTTAATTGCTAATTGAAACTAGAGGATTTACTTAGTTTTTATGTGGAAAAGTAATGGTTTAAGAAATGGTGTTAGATCATTTTTTTCCTTCTGTAGCCGAGATTATAAATGAGTTTATCATTATGATGCTAAATTTGAAATGGGTTAGCTATTGTCCTTCAATCTGTAATTTTCTGTCCAGATTCACTTTAAAGGATTATATGGGATTAGAAAATACAAGAATGGTAGTAAATTGACTATGAAATTTTAGATTTTAAATATACTACTCAGGAAAATACAAGGACAAAGGCAAAATTAACGTTTGAAGCTTTTAAAAGAAACAAGAATTCACATAGATTAGATTGATGAAATTGCTTTGGACGTTGATTATCCAAGGTAAATATATATATATATATGGAATAGATTGTGAGGATTAAGAACGAAAGACATTTGAAGTGTCTTTAAATATGATATGTAAAAATAATGACTTTGCTCTTGATGACCAACCATATAGTAAGGGTAGAGTCTAAAAAGAGTTCAGATTTAAGAGAAGTTATTTAAATTATAACTCATAAACGGATCAAGTATTAATCTACTCTTATATGTAGGATTTCATATTTGCCCAAGCCCATTAAGGAGACAAACAAGAAAGGACTCTGGAGAAGGTAAATTGGAGGAAAGGTCAACATGTATTAACTCTTTCTCTCATATACTCATACAATAGTCCTGCATGTCTGTTTGTGCCATAGTGCCTATATTCTTTAATAAATATATGGTTGGTATTAACTACGAGGGTTGTGTGCTCAATTATGAATGGGATTATAGGAGGTATGTTCTCGATTATGAATGATGGTTTGATTACAGGAGCAGTGTTCTCGATTATGAATTGTGGTTTTGATTACGAGATCTATGTGCTTGATTGTGAATTGAGGTTTTGATTACGGGAGTTGTGTGCTGGATTATGAATTGTGGTTTTGATTACGGGAGCTGTGTGCTAGATTATGAATGGTGGCTTTAATTACAAGAGCTATGTGCTCGATTATGAACGGTGGTTTTGATAATCAAAACTATGTGCTCGATTATGAATAGTAGTTTTGATTACGGGAGTTGTGTACTCGATTATGAATAGTGATTTTGATTACCAGAGCTGTGTGCTCAATTATAAATGGTGGTTTCGATTATGGGAGCGGTGTGCTCGATTATGAAGATTGGTTTTGATTACGGGAGCAGTGTGCTTGATTATGAATGGTGGTTTTGATTACAAGAACTATGTGCTCGATTATGAATGGTGGTTTTTGATTATGGAAGTTGTGTGCTTGATTATGAATAGTGGTTTTGATTACCAGAACTGTGTGCTTGATATGAATGTTGGTTTTGACTTCAGGAGCTGTATGCTCGATTATGAATAGTGGTTTTTATTACAGGAGCTATGTGCTTGATTACGAATGGTGGTAACGCGCAATCTATGTGAATACTAGAACTGTATGTTCCCTTAAACTCGTATTCTATGTGAATACTTGTTCACACCGCAAGTGCATGGGTTGTGACAAGTAATAAAGTGATGAGAAAAGATCATTCCCACGGAGATTTGTGAAAAAATCAAGACCAAACAAAAGGCTAAGTAAAATTAATAAAGTTGGGCCAACCAATTCTTTTGATGGGAAAAATAAATTTTGAAAGTAACTTTTAAAACTAGACAGTAATAAAAGTAATTGATTCTTAAACTTCAAGGGATAAGAGGGGCCCAGGATCATTCATCTCCCTTATATTTCATAACCTTTGAATTATCTCCTCTCATAAATGTTCTTAACGACAATATGTGTTAGTCTAGGATTCAATAAGTACTCGTAAAAGCCTTGTCAAGTCAAGCACAAGTATTTAATTCCATTAATTGCTCAATCTCTTGTTACAATTAATAAAACCCAATTTTTAAGTTTCAATCCTAAAGTGACTATACAAGATTGGTAAGTATATCTCTATCTTACCAACAAAACTATCCATTCAACAAGCAAACTTCAAATTCTTACACAATTTTACCCAAGTTCTACACTTAACCTAACCTTCTCAAATATCAATCAAATGAACAAATCAACTAAATGGTGATCAAGCATTTAGAAGCATTAAGAAAAGAGTAAAACAAACACATATATATCATTAATCCTAAAAAGAGAGGAGCAATCAAGAGTTAATCCATACAAGGGTTTAAAATAATCCTAGAACAAAGTATTTAGCTACTCATAGTTAGCCACAAGCCATAAATATAAAGGAAATTCACAGCCATAACAGATTACAAGAGAGGGAATGAAGGAGAAATAGAAAAACCAAGAAGATGAAGCTCCAAATCTCTTCCAAAGCTCAATCTCTTGCTTCCAACTCTTCAAACACCCAAGCCCTAGCACACAAAGCTTCCAAGAATGCCCAAGAAGTCTAGAATACCGTCTAAGGTCAAAAATGTGGTCTTAAAACCTAAAATTTTTGGACTTAGTTGAGCTGTGCGTTTTGCTATCAGTGAGTGCGCCGCAGCCAACTTTATCTTTGTTTTAGTTGGGTTGCAGCCAAGTCAAAGTGCGCTACAGCTCACTTTGCTTCTGGAAAATTAAACTCTTATCCATCAAACAAGGATCTCTATCAATGTTGTGGCTTCTAATGATTCTTCTTTGTTCTCATAATGCCTTCATGACACAACCTAGATCCTCAAACTCTTTGAAAGACTTCCAAAGTGACTTGACATTTAATTTCTGGATGAAAATATACTTTGCAAAAGAATAACTCTATAAGCTCCTAAATAGCAAAGATTAAAGCCAAAATATGCACACTTAAGCAATAATGTGCAAACCAAAAACATCATGCACATTTTTCTTTCCTTGAGAATGAATGTAAGCACTAATGCACCAAAAAGTATCATAAGCTTAAAAAAAATGTGCTGAAATGACATGAAGATCTAGAGGTTAACAATACTAGAACTGTGTGTTTCCTGGAACTTGTATTTTGTATGAACACTGGAACTATGTGTATTCTATGTGACTACTGGAATTGTGTGTTCCCTCAAACCCATATTCTTTGTGAGTACCAAAACTATGTGATCCATGATTAACACTATATGCTGTGTGAACCATGCTAGTTTTGTTGATCTACTAAGTGCTTATTATATGGCTTGTTTTGCATGCTTTGTGAACTTGTACATGTGTATGATAGACTGTTGTTATTGTTGAGATTCTTAGAATCTCACTCCTTTCCTTTCATGATATAAAGTAAAAACAAAGGGCTCAAAGGGCAAGAGTGTAATGATTGCAAGGAATTAAGAAGGTTGGAAGAAGTTATTTGTATAGTTGGTCATCAGTTTATACTTTCGTAGTTTGAACTTATAATTTTTCATTAGCCAAGTATGGCTACCACTCTATGTATATAAATATGTAGATATGAAATTATATGGAATTTATGGAATGTAAATTCCTCTGTAAATAGGAAACTATGGCTCTTGAAGTCAACAAATAAATGCCATCTACTTTAATGGCTGTGTAGTAGTAGGTTAGTGAAATATGACCTGTCTTGCTTACACCTTGAGGTCAAATTCAAAATTAAAACCAAGGATTGCACTATAGGCACAACCTCAGGTCGTTTCACTTGTTGGAGCCTTAATTATTGATCCTAAGTTAACTAAATTCCATGAAAATGCAAATTGACTAGGGAAAAGTTGGGGGTTTTCAGTAAAAATATTAATTGAGATAAAATGCAATGTAAATATATTTTTGGATTTTTGAGAAATTAGGATGGAATGGATGGGAAACAAGTGTTGAAATAGTTGATAAGATCTCTTGAAAATAGACCTTTGGCAATCATAGTTCAAAATGATTTTGGGAGTAAAAATCACTAAGTTTTCTAAAGGAAAAACCTTAAAGGACCCTTTAAATCTAGGATCTTAATCAATGGCCACCCATCTCATAAGATCCTATTAAGCTCACTTAGTGTGTGTATTAGGATTAATTCATGCACTTGGTTCAATGCAAGCCCTAATTAACTCAACAATCAGACAAAACCATGCAAGAAAGAGAGTATCAAAAGAGTTGCATAGAAACATATATGTAACCACATATATTGAAGCTCAAATTCAACATTAACTAATCTAATACACAAGATAATAATCCAGAATTGATTATAACCATAATCAAAATAGTTCAGCCCCAATTTACAAATCCTAAGACCTAGGAATTCATAAATAAACAACTAGAACTATGGATAAAGCTAACTCCCCTTTGAAGCTCTTAGAACTCATGCCAATCAACCCATCTTCAAGAGAGCAGACACCTAGCCATGCATTGGAACAAGAAGCACCACAACTAGCAGTAATTTCGAGCTACCCATGGTGGAAAATGAAGGAGAAATGGAAGAAGATGGAGATTTTGTGAAGGAGAGAGTGAAGAGGACGAGAGAAAATGAAAGGGAGAGGTTGTGTATGAGTGAATGTGGCTACGTTTTTGAAAATGCCTTAGTCTTGGGGTATTCTGGCCAGGTCTAGGTTGGATTTTGAGTGGGTAAACCATTCAGAGTCAGATTTTATAAGTAAAACACACAGGTTCAGAAACATGCCAGGCGCCATGGCAGATTTGTCCATCCGCCATGGCAGATTTTACAGAATCATATTTCCTCCATTTAGTGCTGTGTTGTTCTTTGGTCTTTGATCTTGGCTCCATTTTTCTTGTGTCCTGCAATCAAAATCAGTCTAAATGAAGTACCAATTGTCCTAGAAATTAATTAATAATAATTAATCACCAATTATGACAATTTTGACCCCAAAAGACATTAACTCTATGCAAAGGCATCTAAACTGTATCAGACACAAATATGCACAATTATGCTCATAATAACCCATAATAAGCCACGAAATGATATAAGACAATATATAATAAATGAGTTAGATCAGTTAATAATATTATTAACTTACTATATTATCGAACCCTGTATAGTGGAAAGTTTTTTTTAATAAATGAGTTAGATCAGTTAATAATATTATTAACTTACTATATTATCGAACCCTGTATAGTGGAAAGTTTTTTTTTAAAAAAAATTCCTGCAAGAGTATTATACTTTCAAGTCGTAATTTGACCCAACTGACATAGAAATTTAAGATATTACAGTTGTGATGCTGGATTTACCAGAATGGCCTTTGAATGGATTATACAAAAACGGCAGGATTAGTGAAGAGGCTGATTATCCTTATCTTGCTCAAGAATTTGCAAAACCACCAACAAGGTTTGTTTCCCCCCTCTCTCTCTATAACTACTCATTCGGTCCTTTTTACAAGATCCCTTTAATCGAATTATGCAGTTTTAAAAAAGTAGTTAAAATTAGTTAAAGGCAATTAGTATGTAAAAGTTGAATTTTTTTCCAACCAAGCCCTTATTTAGAATGGGAAAATTGGAAAGAGAAATACTAGCAACGAGATAAATGATAAAAGAGAATACAGTATGAGAAAAAAATGATGAAATAATAGAAAATTGAACAAGAGCAAAATTGAAAAATACAGTTAGTGTTCAAGAACTCCTAAGCAGGACCGTATAAAAAAGAATCAAACTGATTCAAATTTTGAGATCTTATAAAAAGGATTGGAGGCAGTATAACAATGATGTCTTCTACATGTGTGTAATTTGAGGTTTCTTATATGTGTCTTTTAAGCAAAATGGAAACAAAGTCGTGAAAATTAAAGGTTTCTTATATGTGTCTAATCTGATTGATCTAAAGTTGTTAACAAGTCATGTTTGAATTTCTTATACTGTCCTCATAATGCAACTCGTCCTACTCGCACTACAAAACCGAGTTATCTCCATACAAGTCTATAACTAAGATTATAGTATTGGAAGCAACATAAAATAATATCAAAATGCTAAATAGACCATAAATAAGATTAGGATATTGAACACACATGAAAAACAATATCAGAATGCTGGATGCCACTTTATGCTATTTTCTTTCAAAACTCAGTTCAGTATATCTATGATTGGAAAGAGTGGTTTACTTTTACCATCTTTATGGTTTCATCTGATTTTGATTAGGTCCCTGTAGATGTTTTTCTTTTTATCAAGTACTTATATCTAACCCGATTTTTCATAAGCTTATGTAGTTTTGGGGGGTAAAAAAATTTATGGTTACCTACTTAAAAATTAAATGAAACGATAAGAATGACAAAAATGCTACAGAGATGTAACTAAAGTCAATGAAACTATAAGAATCCAAGAAAAAAAATTACAGGAATTTAATTAACAATCAAATGAAACCATACGACATTTGGACACCATTAGTATTCTTTTTGTCAATGATGGATTATGTTTTCCCGTTAAGTTAATCAATACAAAGTCTGCCCAATAATGTGACTGTTTGTCTATTTGAAGTTAATAACAAAATCTCCAATTAAAATTCCAAATTTTAAGCTCCCGTATGGTTTGACTCAAGTTCCTCAATTTCTTAAGCATCCATTAAATGAACACACAATCTATCATAAACCACAATTATAAGGGGAAATAACTCAAATAAGTATTCAATCTATATAAGAGTCCAAAATAATCTTAAAAAGAAGAGTTGTTTAACTACTTAGGGGAAATAAGGGGAAATAACTCAATTTTTAAACTTAGGCTCTCATGCTTAAGATGGCTAAACTATGGGTAATGAATTGTATCCAGTTAAAATTCAGGGATCAATAGTTTCAAAATGAAAACCATAGATATTGACTTACATTAAGTTAAAGTCCAGGAATTGAGTTACAATTTAGCAAAAAGTTATAGGGACCAAATGATTAATGTTCCCTTATTTAAGGTTGGTCGAACCAAAATGAATTATGTAATAACGAACTTTCTGACCAAACGTTGAACGAAGAAACAATCTCATACGAACATGAATCACACCAATGAGATCAATGAACCAGCTCAAAATTGTGAAGCACGATACACGTCAAATAGAAATTGACATACAACATTTAATGTCTTTTCTTTTTCTTTTTTCCCCCCATAATCGGTATTATATAAGCTTTTGAGCTTATTTTATGTTTCGACAGATCTTTATCATCTGAAACATCAAATATAAGCATGGCTTTCTGTACCACTAGGTTGTTCCTTCTTTCTTTGATTTGCTGTTCCATTCTAACAAGTCTCTCTTCAGGATTCCCTACTAAGGGATTTGTTTTTCCTTCAAAGAAAGAACAAAAGTTTGGAATATTCCAACAATGGACAAAGGAGCATGGAAGGATCTACCCAAACTCTGAAGAGAATGAAACCAGATTCCAAATATTCCACAGGAATCTCAGGTATATATTACAGAGATGAATGCTAACAGATCAAAATTACACTGCCTTGTAGTTATCATTTGGCCCTCAACAAGTTTGCTGATATGAATCCCGAGGAGTTTAGGAAAATTTACCTACGTGAACTCAAATGCCGACCACCATCGCCCCTATCCTTGCCACTGCCACCAACACCACGACCACTATGACGACGGATTATGCGCAGCAGAAGGACTCCTGTGGAGCACCTGCTTCCATGGATGGGAGACAGCGTAGAGTTGTCATTGGAGTTAAAACCAACAAACATGTGGTAAGCCTCTCTTGTTCAACCAACTTAATTTATGTAGGTGTACAAATATATTTTACTCTTGCTGGATAACTCATGAAGTTAAATAAATTAATTAATTATAACAAATAGGATCTAATGACCTCTCTAAAAGAAATAACTTTGTATAACATTAGATTATATATTAGTTTATAAATTAGGTAAATTAGTTTGGGGAAAAAATGACAAATATGTGAGGCAAAGTCAATTGATGTCTTATATTTGAATTGAAAGTCTAGTATTCCAACTAGCTCTCATATCAAGGACTGGAAGGATTATTAGCTATGAGCATAGACTTGACACACAAATATATATAGTACACATGCCCACATGATTAATTGATGTGATTCATATCCCAAAAAAATGGGACACGTAGAATCATTTTTAATTGGTTCTTCTCTTGATCCTCAATGGACTCATATAGATTTATGTTTAACGATGATTCGCAGGAAGTTGCTGGGCATTTGCCGCTGCTGCAGCCGCTGAATCAGCACATGCAATAGCCACAAGGGAACTTATTACCCTTTCTGAACAACAACTCAGATTGTGATTCCATGAGCCAAGGTTGTTCAGGAGGATGGCCCTCTAATGCCATTGATTGGGTTATAAAAAATGGTGGGATTAGCAGAGAAGATGATTATCCTTATTCCGCTCGACCGGGTTATTGTAGAGCCAACATGGTATCTCTCTCTATGTGTGTGTGTGTCTGTATATATTTATATGTTTCTCTTCGTCTAACTTATTTCTTTATATATGCTTCTTAATCAGAATGGGAATATTGCCGTCAAAATTAGTAACTATCAACGTGTAACACAATTAGATGATGCTCTCTTGTGTAACACCATCAGATGATAAATTCTGAGGAGTAAGTATCAACATTATTTCATTTTTAAGTTTGATCTCATTACTCTTTTAATTATTTTAAGGGAATTTATGAAGGTGAGGATTGCCCCAGGGAATCAAACAATTTGACTCATGCTGTTTTGATTGTTGGATATGATTCAAATGATGGAAAAGATTATTGGATTGCGAAAAACTCCTGGGGAGAAGATTGGGGAATGAAAGGATGCATCTTGATCCGAAGAAACATGGGTTTACCAAATGGAGTTTGCTCTATCAATACTGCAGCTTTCTACCCAACCATATAAGTGTCAAGTTCTTGTTTTATGTCATGAACTGTCACAAATTATTGATTAATTATAGTGAAACACATTATATATTTCGTTATTTATGATCATATAAATATATATACATATTGGATATCTCAAGTATTTTATTTTAAAGCCCCAGAGAATTGCTGATTTACAAGCTTGAGCTTAAACTGGCCCGCTCGATTATAATTGATAGAAAGCAAGTAAACTACTAGTGGCTGCCTGATGTTATGACACGTGTAGTTGTTCCTTGGTCATCATTGGCAAGTTAATAAAAAGTTGTTGCAAGATATTACAATTTGGACTAATAAGTTCAAGCTCGGATCGTGCCACGTTTATCTTGTGTGTGTGTGAGAGAGAGAGGCAAACAAGTAATGAATAAAGCACTTATTTGTAGCTCAAGTGATGTCAAATATTTTTTTTCAAGGCTTTTTTAGGTCCATTTTAAAATTATGTTTAAAATAACTTATAAACACATTTTATGTAAACCGATGAGATAGAACTCTTCTTACGCATTTACATCATATTTCATAAATTATAATTAAAAAACTGTTTACAAACCATTTTAAACGGCCTAAGGTTGTAAGCTCCAACTTTCAATAAATAGCACAATAATCTCCGTTGGAAGAGGTGCTCACATTCAGTACCTGATAGTCCCTCAAAAAGGATTGTCTCCAATAAGAGGATACCTATGCTTTACCTAAAAAAAAAAAAAAGAGTGTGAAGAACATTGACCGCAGTTGACCTGAAAAATCTTTTTGGTGGTATGACAAAGTCAACATAAATTATACTCTTCTATTTATTCCCATACACTTAGTATTCTGGTCTTAATATAAGGCATTTATAACACATCCTCGCATGTTAAAGAATGCATTAAATTGTCAAAATTTTCCACCTTTATCCTTAAAGTTTTCACTCACTATATATTTTCAAATCATTCTCATACTTCTCCCTCTTTCTTCTTTCCTATAAAAATTAAATAAGGGTAAGATTGAAAGACAAGCATTAAATATACTACAAATAACTTATATTTAGGACCGGAGCTGTACAAGGCATTGTTTTTTTCCGGCCAAATATATACAAGGCATTGGTAGCAACGACCAATGCAATGTGAATAATAAAAAACGAAATAAATAAAACCATCTTCATTACTCGTGCATGGAAGAGAAAAACCCCAATTACAATAGCTAATAATGAATCAATCCCAAAAGTTTTGGGAATTTGAAAGGAAAAATTCAAGCTAACCACTGATTTGCACATAGTAGGGAGTCCTATGCCATCACACTTAATCGTGAACTAAAGCCTTCTTTATACAGACTTTGGGTCATCAACCCACTCATACAAAATCTTAACTAACTAATCTTATTCTAATATCTCCAATAGGCATTTTAAATTTTCATTAGCAAATATTATATCTATACCTTCAGAACCATCAAAAACAAAATTAAACATGAATAGTCGAGAAATTAACCATATTTATTTATTTATTTTCTCTCTTTTCATTCATTCTTATTTTTCCTTCTATAAAAACCAACAAAGTCGTTTTTGGATTTGGGGTCTATAATGTGCATATCTATAATATTATTATCTAATATTTTCTTTAATGCTCCAACTTTTCAAATGCTTTTTTAATTTCACTTTTAATTATTTTATTCTATATAAAATAAGTGATATTTTAATACTTTATAGTGATAAATGGTACAGGTTTAATCTTTTTTTTTATGGTTTTTCAAAGAAAATAAGCATAATTTTAGATTATTTTTCTTCGAAAAATCATAAACAATTAAAAACGGCATCATTTAACCACTTGATATTTATAAAGCAAGACACATCATAGGCCCCAACCCCATCATTCTTCCACCAGTCAGCACACATTTGACAATCTAAACATATTAACGAGGCGTGGACTCAAAAGGAGTTTCACATTTGTTACATTAACACGTAAAACGCCTACTTACGTTATACGGAACTTATTGGAGACGGTACGAAGGCCATGACATGAATGAACAGAGGATCCATTTTAAACATGTTGATTGGAATAATTATTACTCTTTTGGTCATAAATATAAGGCTCATTTTGTAGTGTAAATTTATATTACAGAATGGGTCTTACATTTAAAAACATATAAAGTATCTCTCAGTCTTTGTCTGTTGTGCTTCCTTTACTTTCATTTTTTAGCTTCGATTTTTGGACAGTTGTTATATGTCCTCTGTTCATACTCTATAGTTGCTCGCCTTTAGATATTTTTCAGACGTCCCACTCGTCATGGATTGTGATTGCAGAAGATTGTTGGTTGAACCAAGTAAGTTCGTGCAAGTATCGTCTTGGATGAATTTGATTCATGCACAAGACCCTTCCATGTTGTGAACAGAATAATGAGACGGGACATGAGAGGCAAATGGTGTCCTGTTTTTTTTTTTTTTTAATGGGATGGGACCCATCTCGTAAGCAGTCCTAATTTAAAGGGGGGGGGGGAACAGTTATAAATCATAGATTAATTTTAAATATACAAAAAAGATATCCTTAAATTTTGTGTCTGTCGTCATAAAAATCTTAGCTACCACTCTCAAATTTACTATTCGAAATCAACTTTGGGGCCTAAAATTTCAGAGTTTTATTCAATTTTTAGAAAGCTTCCACTTAATAAACTGCAAAAACTAAGTTGTGTCTTAAATCAAAGTTTACGGATCAATAATTGAGAGAAAATTTATTTAGAGGCTTAAAGTCAAATTCTTCGCTCAAAACTATATTGTTCCATGATCAGTAACATTCATTTTCCCAATATAAAATAATGCTAGGAATGTATTTTACTCTTTCAGTCTCATATTTGTATTTGCCATTTATCCCACGTAATATGTAACATATATTTTCAACTATTATTGTCACATCCATCCAAAGAAAACAAAAACAGAAAATGGATTTTGTCTTACGTTGGTGCCCCTAGCTACCTTGAAGCTAAGTTGAAGAACTTTCAAAGTACTAACATCATCCAGCTGTGATAACATGTCCTCTTTCAGCTATCGAAACGGACTCTGCTAATTGCCAAACTAACTCACTTATAACTAACTGGACTAGGGACCCCACTGGTGGGAAAGTTCCCAGCTTACAAGTCCTTTTTTTTTTTTTGACCAGCAGCTTACAAGTCCATTTACGACACCCATATATGAATGTCGTTTTGCCTTGCTTTCTCAACAATGCATTGATTATATATCATCGTTTTCCATAGGAAAAAAAAGGCACACTAAGAGCTAGTCTTTAAGAAACCAACCCGAAAGTCCCCAAAACGCAGGAGAAAAATCAAATGGTTCAAAATTTACATTTTTATTCTTTTTTCTTTAATAAAAGTGGCCCCCGCAGATGGTAGTAATTTCTGTAATAGAGTCATTTTAAAATAATATTAAGAAGAGTACACTATAGTATAAACGGTATATCTCCATATACAATTGTGCAGAGCAAAATAGGAATAGTTCCGTCTTTTAGGGTGCAATTTTGTCCTAAAGATTTTTACATAGGAGCCGTAGTATAAGAAAGTTTTTTTTTTTTTTTTAAATCTCTCAAATGTGTTAACGAAAGAGCAATATTGCCTCTGATTATTAAAAAAATTAACGGTCAACATTAATTTTTTAATGATCAATGTTAGATTTTTTTAACGGTTATTAGGGTAAATTTGCTCCTTTTTAAATATTTTTAGGGTGATATATTAATCCTCACAAACTTTTGGGGTACTTAGGAAAAACTCCTGTGAGTAAAATTAGACCGCAACCCTTGTGTTATCTTTAAAGTTCCATGGAAGGCGTTGCATCTGGATTTTCTTTAGCCCAGCAACCCAATTTGGATGCAGTTAATCACTTCATTATATGATCCAAATTCTTTTAGATATATTTGAATCCAATTATATGAACAACTTTTCTTCCTTCATTGCTTTCCAAGCCTGCATAACAATTATGCACCACTATATTTCAATCATAATAATAAAATGAATACTCAGTCCAAAAACAGAGAATATGTGTTGTGCGTACTAAGAAAAAGAAAATATCCAACAATACTCATTTGTCTTCGTCCAAAATTTATATCCGTATTTCATAATTTTTAACTTATAATTTTAGAATAATTACGTATATGCATATTTGTTTTTTTAATTCCTTTTCTCAACGCTTGTAATGTATAGATGAGCATAAATTGTCATATCTGGATTTTCCGTGAAAGGACTAAATGCATGAACAAAAATTTATCAAGGGTCAAATAAAATATTAGAAATACAATGAAAACATCTTATTACTTTCATGCTGAGTTGGGGCAAAATCATAATTTTCAAAAACTTATGGGTGGAAGAACAGTTTTTAAAATTTTCCCTAAAAATTAGAAAATTCTAAACAATTTATGAAAGGTAAAGAAAAATGTCTAGAACCATATTTGAGACTCAATTATGATAATAAAAAAAATGACATATGTTGAAAATAAATTTTGCTTAACTTTTACAATTTTGGTTAATTAAGGTATAATTAGGCAAAACTAATTATGTTAAATACCAGTAAGACTCAAATCATTGCGTAAAAATGAGAAGAAAATATTTTAGGATTAAACTGAATTTACAAAAATGATTTTAAAAATGGAAATCTTATTTAATAGAATATTTTATGTGGTTTTATCCAAAAATAGGGTCGTTTCTTCAAAAAATTAAGGAAAGATACTTAAAGTCCAAATTTTGCCTTGAGAAAAATTATGAAGATACTCCCTGATAAATTTGAATTATTTATGATCTCACCGTAGTTATATGATTAAAGAATATTCAAAAAGCATTTGTAGTGGATTTAACTCATTAATTAAGAAGTTAAAGTAAGGTGATTGGGGAAGGGACAATATTTCTTTATCTAAATGGGTACAAATTCGCCCTATATAGATTGTTTTATAAATATTAAAGCTTATTCTCTCTTGTACAATATATAAGTTGTTTTTAAGTCACTCACCAAACCAAAGTAAATTAGTTGAAATAACAAAATTGCCTTAAAATTCAATCACTTTTAATTTTTGCCTTTCTTAAATATGATCTTTAAATATTTTTATATTACACTTGGAATGTGCCGGAAATCATTTCTGAAATAACAAATTCAGTGCTACAGAGAAAAGCAACAAAAAAAAAATATTAACTATAACATTTTTTTTTAGAACATATCTAATTTATAGGATTGGAGAGAGCACTTTGCAATTACGTATTAATGCACTAGAAAGCAGCTTTAGTATAAATTTCCTTGTTTGAATTGAAGTGTTGATTTCATTCTCAGAGTTCTAAGCAATAATAGTGGCGTATGTAACGTTGAAGAAGACAAATATTTATTTATTATGTCTACAGTTCAAGAATGTCATATACTACTTTAAATTATTAGAAATCACGGTTTACTCGTAACTTAAGGTTATGACTTATGAGTTTCAATATTAATTAATTGAGATTCTTAAGGTGTCCTTCACATGCATCATCATAATAATAATTGAAAAAAAAAGACAGTATATTATAATAGCTGCCTGATATATAAAGTTACTATTTTTTCGAAAAATGTTAGCCTTGATTCTTCCTCATTGTTAGCTACGCTTAGGGTTAAATTTCCAAAATTATTGAAAGAATCTTTTAGTTTTTGGCCAGTCATATACATACATATATATATATATATATATGTATGTATGTATGCGCTATATGTAGCGCTCATTAGAGTATAAAAGTCTCTTCTCTTTAAACAACAACATAGTGACCGTTAATTGAGGCGTCCGCGATTTGCGTAACAGAGAACAAGACGGAGATTTTTTTTCATCAGTTTATCGGCAACATTCACTCCAAATTGTTTTCTTTTGATACAACGAAAATTGTTAAAATATGTCAAAATCTATACATCGATCAATTATTCCCTTTCCCTTGCCTGAGTCATACTAAACGTATTCAAAACGTACTTTAAGGTCTTGTTTGGTTCAGTGGAGGGGAGGGGATTTAATTATTCCCTTTCCCTTTCCCTTGCCTGAGTTATACTAAATGTCATAGGACACTTGTCACCACAAGATTAAAAGAGAAAATGGACGGTCCAGATCAAGCCACACATTTTTAAGATCAACGGCCCAGATTCAGTCTTATTTTCTATAAATACCCCCTCCCCACCCCTCATTTCGTCCAACCTCATGGAAACCTTAGGAAAACTCTGGCAAAATGATTTCTAGAGAGAGAAAGAAGAGGGAGAAAGAAAGGCCAAGTGGCCCCATGCAAGATCAAACTCTAAAACAAGGTATGTTCATGGTTTCTTATATAGTTTTCACTACTCTTGTTGTTGAGCTTGGTTATAGATTTTAATGATTTTTAGGAGCTTGAAACCCTTAGGGGAGGTGCTGGACAAAATTTTTAAGTGTGAGGGAGGATGAAATTGATGTTAGAATAATGTTTAAAGGCTTGAAAGAAACACGAATCAAGTGGTTTTATGCTAAAATTGGTTGAATTTCATGATTGTGTAACTTGAGGAAATATTTCGGCCAGACCCAGTTCTTGTGCCTAGGATGTGATTTTGATGATTTAGATGCTTCCAATGTGTTTAAAATGAAAAATTGTGTAGGGATAAGATGAAAGAATGAAGTTGAAAGCATTGAAATCAAAACTGGAAATTAAGTAGCAGATTTCGGTTTTGGCCTAGAACCAGGGAAAGGAGTTGGATTTTGATGAATCTAAGCTCATATTTGGATTCCTTGGACAAAATTGTGTAGGATTGGCCTAAAGAAACAATTTTTACAAAGCTAGAACACTACATTATAGATTAAGGAAAAGGAGATTAAGTTTAAGGACTTAAGTCTTCTATGTTGTGTAATTCTTGGTCCTAATGAGTAATGTGACCCTTGTGGCTGTGATTAGGACCTTGAGACATTCAAGAGAAGGTTTGGATGTGGTTGAGCAAGCAACTTTAATGGTTGGAAACAAAAAAGGAGTAAGAAGAAAGCTTAAGGACACAAGGTGACGAACTTGACCTTACTCTTATATGCTTGGTACTTGCTTGCATGTATGACATGTTTCTATGTTATATGATTTTATGAACTCATGTGTTGTGATTGTGAATATGTTTGAAATGTGTAATAGGCCTATGTGTTTTATGGTTAATGTGTGATGATTTCCAAACATGTCACTATGTTATAGAAATGTTAAGTTGCAAGCATGTTATAAATGCCAAGCTTGCCATGTATGTTTGGGTAGTTATTGTTTGCTACTGAGATTCTCCCGAATCTCACCCTCCCTTAACCAACCATAATAGGTGATATGATCAAGTGAAGGATACATGAAGTGGAAGCAAGGAAAGAAGAAAAGATTTAGGGAAATTTGTTGTATTACGTTTTACACCGTATATACTGATGTATGTTGTAAATGTGCTATTAATGGTATGTGATGATAAATGATGATGTTGGCTTGTGTAATTAGCTATGATAATGTATGGGAAAGGTTAGTGTATGAATGGAATGATATTATGTATGGAAAGTTTTAATCATGAACTATTAGTGCAAGTTAGGGGATAAGCTATCCCTAATTGAGCAACAAAATAGTGACAAAGTAGAAGTATGGCAAATGATTAACTCTGCTCATGAAATTTGACATGATTAAAGTACACACCCTGAGCTTTAAAACAAGTAGTAGATCACTTAAAACGGATGTGTATACTAAGAGTTATGCCTTCTCAAAGTTGGACCTATAATCTGGAAAATACCCAGTAAACAGTAACTCAAGAACGAATCCCAAGTTCAATTTACGAGCTTGTTTTGGGAATCGCTTGAACCATAACGCTTCCAGGCATATACTCTAAGGGGTTAAAGGAAGGATGTTTCACAACCCCCTCCCCAAAGCCCATCATGATATTAAATTTATCGTCATTGATTTTAAATCAAAAGTCATACTCATTTAATCCTATTTATAAGTCACATTATTAAATTTTTTTGTGTTGGCAAAAAAGTCATTAAATTGTTAACATAAATATACTGTTTTACTTTTCATCTTTTATGTTGTGTATATTACTTTTTTGTTTAAAAGCTTTATATTAAATAAGGATAGAGTTAAACAGTAATTAAATAATTGTACAACACAATTAATGAGATTTAAATTTTTTCTTGATTTTTAAAATATACTAAAAGCGACTTATAGATTAAGGGGGTGTTTGGGTGGAAACCGCTAACGAAGTCTTTGCATAGGTAACGGAATTTGCTTGAAGCTTCAACCTTGTGTGCATGCTGTGGGATTTCTTCAAAGCAGATCTCTAGATCACAACAAGCATTATCTCACTAGATGGGGTGGCGGAGACAATCTGTAGTTTTAGTAGCGACAAAAAGTCACGATTAAGGAAATGTAAATTGCAATTATTGCACTGAGATGCTCAAGGCACATGTGATTTTTGACAGTGCAAGCAGTGTCCCCCTAAAAAACACTTCGAGCAAAATTGCTATATTTTTAAAATTTTTGATGCCAAACCCGAATTATGAACGACATGTCTCGTGGTCCACCAAGCCATTATCGTCAAGGGGCCGGTTGGGCCCAATTTACAAAGACAAACGTATCAATAAACTAGATCAATTCTTTGAGTTTTTTTATGCCATAAATAAATCTGAACACTCAAGTGTTTTGGCAATTCCTCGCATGTGTTGTTTCAATATTTCTGTCTCTTTAAACTCAATATTTTATATTTTTATAAATTTACTATTCGAGTCATCATAATCATGTTTACCCCCCCCAGGGGACTTCTCGGCGTCCCACACACATTGCCAGATTGGATTGAACTGTTAATTTCATTCTCAGAGAGTTCTAAGCAATAATAGTGGCGTGTGTAACGTTGAAGAAGACAAAGTTTTCTTTGGTGAGTTTATGGGAAATTTCATCCTACGAATACATACCTTAGCTCCTTAATACACGAGTTACTTAATTGAATAAATTAAGAAAATTAGTTAAGTTAGTTATTTATAACAAATATAATTGGCTACTCATGAATATATGAATCCCGTGGAGTTTAGGAAGATTTACCTACGTGAGCTCAAATGCTGACCACCATCGCCCCTGTCCCTACCGCCGCCGCCGCCAACACCACAGGCACTATGACGACGGATTATGCGCAACAGAAGGACTCCTGTAAAGCACCTGCTTCCATGGATTGGAGACAGCGTAGAGTTGTCACTGGAGTTAAAACCAACAAACATGTGGTAAGCCTCTCTTGTTCAACCAACTTAATTTATGTAGGTGTCCAAATATATTTTACTCTTGCTGGATAACTCACGAAGTAAAATAAATTAGTTGATTATAACAAATAGGATCTAATGACCTCTTGAAAATAAATAACCTTGTATAACATGAGATTATATATTAGTTTATAAATTAGGTAAATTAGTTTGGGGGGAAAATGATAAATATGTGAGGCAAAGTGAATTGATGTCTTATATTTTGAATTGAAAATCCAGCATCTCAACTAGCTCTTATATTAGAGACTAGAAGGATTATTATTTATGAGCATAGACTTGACACACAAATATATATAGTACACATGCCCACATGATTAATTGATGTCATCCATATCCCCCAAAAAATGGGGCACGTAGAATCATTTTTAATTGTTTCGTCTCTTGATCCTCAATGGACTCATATAGATTTATGTTCAACGATGATTCGCAGGTAGTTGCTGGGCATTTGCAGCTGCTGCAATCATTGAATCAGCACATGCAATAGCCACAAGGGAACTTATTACCCTTTCTGAACAACTCATAGATTGTGATTCCATGAGCCAAGGTTGTTCAGGAGGATGGCCCTCTAATGCCTTTGATTGGGTTATGAAAAATGGTGGGATTAACAGAGAAGATGATTATCCTTATTCCGCTCAACAGGGTTATTGCAGAGCCAACATGGTATCTCTGTGTGTGTGTATTTATATGTTTCTCTTTGTCTAACTTATTTCTTTATATATGCTTCTCAATCACAATGGGAATAGTGCCGTCAAAATTAGTAACTATCAAAGTGTAACACCATTAGATGATGCTCTCTTGTGTAACACCATCAGATGATAAATTCTGAGGAGTAAGTATCGACATTATTTCATTTTTTATTACCAAAAAACAAAAATATTTCATTGTTAAGTTTTATCTGATTACTCTTTTAATTATTTTTAGGGAATTTATGAAGGTGAGGATTGCCCCAGGGAATCAAACAATTTGACTCATGCTGTTTTGATTGTTGGGTATGATTCAAATGATGGAAAAGATTATTGGATTGCGAAAAACCCATGCGGAGAAGATCGGGGAATGAATGGATATATCTTGATCCGAAGAAACATGGGTTTACCAAATGGAGTTTGCTCTATCAATTCTTCGGCTTTCTACCCAACCATATAGGTGTCAAGTTCTTGTTTTATGTCATGAATTTTAAATAAATTGCCATAAGTTATGGATTAATTATAGTGAAACACATCATATAGTTTGTTATGATCATATATATATATATATTGGATATCTCAAGTATACTGTGTTTTCTAGCTTGTGCTTTTTGGCGGCCATCAGAAATCTTTTGTGATGAGCGCATAGTAAAACCTTCTTTAGATTTGCTTAAAATTTTTGGAATTCATTTATTTCTTTCATAGGTGGCATCAAATATTTTATTTTGAAGCCCCAGAGAATTGCTGATTTACAAGCTTGAGCTCAAACTGGGCCGCTCAATTATAATTGATGGAAAGTAAGTAAACTACTAGTGGCTGCCTGATGTTACCACACGTTGAGTTGTTCCTTGGTCATCATTGGCAAGTTGAACAACTAAGCCTAATTATAAACTTCACAAAAAGTTGTTGCAAGATATTACAATTTGGGCTCATCAGTTCAAACTCGGATCCTGCCACGTTTATCTTGTGAGAGAAAGAGAGGTAAACAAGTAACGAATAAACCTCTTATTTGTAGCTCAAGTGACATCAAATACTTTTTTCAAGGCTTTTTTAAACCCTGTTTGGAGTCACGTTCAAAATAACTTATAAATACTTATTATGTAAACCAACGAGATAAAACTCATATCACATACTTACCTCATATTCTATAAACCATAGTTAAAAAGTTATTTATAAGCTATTTCAAATGAGCCTGAGGTTGTTAGCTCCAACTTTCAATAAATAGTACTTCTCCGGTCCTTAATATAAGATCTATTTAACTAATTTGATTAGATTAAGAAAGTTAGGTAAGTTAGTTAATTATAAGAAATATGACATGTTTTTCCTAAAATATCATAATCATCTTCTTTAATATCTCCTCTCTCTATTCTATTTGATTATGGTTGAGGGAGTCTCTATAAGGGTAATTTATAAAAAATTGATATATATATATATAAAAAATAGTTCTTATATTTAGGATCAAAATCAACTCAATAATTAGATTCTATATTAAGAATAAGAGGAGTACAATATAGTAGAGTGAAAAATCGATGGACTCCTCTTTTAGGTGAACATAGTTGACCTGAAAAATCTTCTTGTTGAGCATCCCAAGGTGCCATCCAGTAGTCACACGTATATACTTGATTGATGGCGCTTCCTATGGGGGCTACCACAATTGTATGACCGGCAAAAAGACAGATTTTTTTTTTTTGCCCCTTTGGTATGACAAAGTCAGCATAAATTATACTCCTCTGTTTATTCCTATACACGTGGTATTCTGGTTTTTTATATAAACCATTTGTAACACATTCTCGCATGTCAAGGAACATATTAAATTGTCAAAATTTTTCAATTTTATCTTTAAAGTTTTCACTCACTATATATTTACAGATCATTCTCACATCTCTTCATCTTTCTTCTTTCCTATAAAAATTAAATAAGGATAAGATTGAAAGCCAAGCATTAAATATATTACAAATAACTTATATTCAGGACCGGAGCGGTACAAGGCATTTTTTTTTTGGGGCAAATATATACAAGGCATTGCTAGCAACGACTATTGCAATGTAAATAATAAAAACAAAATAAATAAAACCATCTTCATTACTCGTGCATGTAAGAGAAAAACCTAATTACAACAACTGATAATGAATCAACCCCAAAAGTTTTGGAAATTTGAAAAGAAAAATTCAAGTTAACCACTGATTGGTACACAGTGGGGAGTCTATATGCCATCACACTTAATCATGAACCAAAACCTTCTTTATGTAGACTTTGGGTCATCAACCCACTCATACAAAATCTTAACAAACTAATCTCATTTCAATATCTCCAATAGGCATTTTAAATTTTCATTAGTAAATATTATAATCTATACCTTCAAAACATTCAAAAACAAAATTAAACATGAATAGTCGGGAAATTAACCATATATACATTCACCACATATATTTCTTTTCTCTCTTTTCATTCATTCTTATTTTTCCTTCTATAGGAACCAACAAAGTCGTTTTTGGATTTGGGGTCTCTAATGTGCTTTCTATAATATTATTCTCTAATATTTTCTGCAATGCTCCAACTTTTCAAATGCTTTTTTAATTATTATATTCTATATAAACTAAGTGATATTTTAATACTTTATAGTGATCAATGGTACAGGTTTAATCTTTTTTTATATGGTTTTTCAAAGGAAATAAGCATAATTTTAGATTCTTTTTCTTCGAAAAATAATAAACAATTAAAAACGGCATCATTTAATCACTTGATATTTATAAAGCAAGACACATCATAGGCCCCAACCCCATCATTCTTCCATCAGTCAGCACACATTTGACAATCTAAACATATTAATGAGGCGTTGACTCAAAACAACTTTCACATTTGTTACATTAACACGTAGAACACTTCCTTACGTCATACGGAACTTATTGGAGACGGTACGAAGGCCATGACATGAATGAACAGAGGATCCATTTTAAACATGTTGATTGGAATAATTATTACTCTTTTGGTCATAAATGTAAAGCCCATTTTGTAGTGTAAATTTATGCTACAAAATGGATCTTACATTTAAAAACGTATAAACTATCTCTCAGTCTTCGTCTGTTGTGCTTCCTTTTCTTTCATTTTTAAGCTTCGATTCTTTGGACATTTGTTATATGTCCTGTGTTCATACTCCATAGTTGCTCGCCTTTAGATATTTTTCAGACGTCCAATTCGTCATGGATTGTGATTGCAGAAGATTGTTGGTTGAACCAAGTAAGTTCATGGAAGTATCGCCTTGGATGAATTTGATTCATGCACAAGACCCTTCCATGTTGTGAACAGAATAATGAGACGGGACATGAGATGCAAATGGTGTCCTGCTTTTTTCTTTTTTTATGGGATGGGATGCAGGCGGGAGGGGGTATCTCCTTCCCATCTCATCTCTTAAGCAGCCCTAATTTAAAGGAAAAAAAAATAACAGTTATAAATCATAGATTAATTTTAAATATAGAAAAAAGATATCCTTAAATTTTGTGTCCGTCTTCAAAAAAAAAAAAAGTCTTAGCTACCACTCTCAAATTTACTAATCGAAATCAAGTTTGGGGCCTAAAATTTCGGAGTTTTATTCAAAAATACAAAAAGGAGTAACTGAAATTTCACAATTTTATAATAAAAAATTTAGCTCTTATATTTTCTTAACTCAAGACAACTCAATTTTTAGAACGCTTCCACTTAATAAACTGCGAAAACTGAGTTGTCTTAAATCAAAGTTTATGGACTTGATCAATAATTGAGAGAAAATTTATTTAGAGACTTTAAAGTCACATTTTTCGCTTAAAACTATATTGTTCCATGATCAGCAACATTGATTTTCCCAATATAAAGTAAGGTTAGGAATGTATTTTACTCTTTCAGTCTCATATTTATATTTGCCCTTTAACCCCCTAGATATATAACATACATTTTCAACTATTATTGTCACATCCATCAAAAGAAAACAAAAATAGAAAATGGATTTTGTCTTACGTTGGTGCCCCTAGCTACCTTGAAGCTAAATTGAAGAACTTTCAAAGTACTACCATCATCCAGCCGTGTTAACATATCCTCTTTCAGCTATCGAAATGGACTCTGCTAACTGCCAAACTAACTCACTTATAACTAACAGGACTAGGGGCCCCAGTCGTGGGTAAGTTCCCAGCTTACGAGTCCATTTACGACACCCAGCTTTCGGATTGGTTACTTTCTCAATAATGTGTTGATTATATATCATCGTTTTCCATAGAAAAAACAAGGCGCACCAAGAGCTAATCTTTAAGAAACCAACCCGAAAGTTCCCAAGACATTGGAGAAAAATCAAATGGTTCAAAATTTACATATTTATTCTTTTTTCTTTAATAAAAATGGCTCCTGTAGATGGTAGTAATTTCTGTAATAGAGTCATTTTAAAATAATATTAAGAAGAGTACGACATAATATAAACGGTATATCTCCATATACAATTGTGCAGAGTAAAATAGGACTAGTTCCCTTTTTTAGGGTGCGATTTTGTGCTAAAGATTTTTACGTAGGAGCCGTAGTATAAGAAAGTTTTGTTGTCTTTTTTTTAATCTCTCAAATGTGTTAACGAAAGAGCAATATTGCCTCTGATTATTAAAAATATTAATGGTTAACATTAATTTTTTAATGATCAATGTTAGATTTTTTTTTAAACGGTTATTAGGTTAAATTTGCTCCTTTTTAAATATTTTTAGGGTGATATATTAATCCTTAAAAACTTTTTGGGTACTTTGGAAAAACTCCTGTGAGTAAAATTAGACCTTAACCCTTGTGTTATCTTTAAAGTTCTATGGAAGGCCTTGCATCTGGATTTTCTTTAGCCCAGCAACCCAATTTGGATGCAGTTAATCACTTCATTATATGATCCAAATTCTTTTATATATATTTGAATCCAATTATATGAACAATTTTTCTTCCTCCATTGCTTTCCAAGCCTGCATAACAATTATGGACCACTATATTTCAATCATAATAATAAAATGAATACTCAGTCCAAAAAAAAAAAAGACAATATGTGTTGTGTGTACTAAGAAAAAGAAAATATCCAACAATACTCATTTGTCTTCGTCCAAAATTTGTATCCGTATTTCATAATTTTTAACTTATAATTTTAGAATAATTACGTAAATCCATATTTGTTTATTTTTATTCCTTTTCTCAACGCTCATATTTTGTAGATGAGCATAAATTGTCATATCGGGATTTTCGGTGAAAGGACTAAATGCATGAATAAAAATTTATGAAGGGTCAAATAAAGTAGTAGAAATATAATGAAAACATCTTATTACTTTCATGTTGAGTTGGGGCAAAGTCATAATTTTCAAAAACTTATGGGTGGAAGGACAGTTTTAAAAATTTTGCCTAAAAATTAGAAAATTCTAAAAAAATTTATGGAAGGTAGAGAAAAATATGGAGAACCATATTTGAGACTCAATTATGATAAAAAAAAATGACGTGTTGAAAATAAATTTGCTTAAATTTTACAATTTTGGTTAATTAAGGTATAATTAGGCAAAACTAATTATGATAAATACCAATAAGACTCAAATCATTGGGTAAAAATGAGGAGAAAATATTTTAAGATTAAACTGAATTAACAAAAATGATTTCACGCCCTAAAAATGGAAATCTTATTTAATAGAATATTTTTATGTGGTTTTATCCAAAAATAGGCTAGTTTCTTCAAAAAAGTTAAGGAAAAATACTTAAAGTCCAAATTTTGGCTTGAGAAAAATTATGAAGATACTACCTATAAATTTGAATTATTTATGATCTCACCGTAGTTATATGATTAAAGAATATTCAAAAAAGCATTTGTAGTGGATTAAACTCATTAATTAAGAAGTTAAAGTAAGGTGATTGGGAAGGGACAATATTTCTTTATCTAAATGAGCACAAATTCGCCGTATATAGATTGTTTTATAAATATTAAAGCTTATTCTCTTTTGTGCTATATATAAGTTGTTCTTAAGTAACTCACCAAACCAAAGTAAATTAGTTGAAATAACAAAATTGTCTTAAAATTCAACCACTTTGAATTTTTGCGTCTCTTAAATATGATCTTTAAATATTTTATATTACACTTGGAATGTGCTGGAAATCATTTCTGAAATAACCAATTCAGTGCTACAGAGAAAAGCAAAAAAAAGAAAAGATATAACATTTTTTTAGAACATATCTAATTTGGAGGATTGGAGGGAGTACTTTGTAATTACGTATTAATGCACTAGAAAGCAGCTTTAGTATAAATTGGAAGTGCTGATTTCTTTTTTTTTTTTGATACACGTAGAGAGGGAAACCCTCCAGCTAAGATCCGAGGTGTCGCCTTATGTCTTCATGCAGGGCATTTGTAATCTCCAATATGGGTGTTTCCATTGGGTGGTAGCCCCGAGCAGTATTCAGGGCCATCTTTGCGAGTACATCCGCATCGGCGTTCGCGTTTCTATTGATATGGGTTATCTCGAGTTCCCAGTTCCACTTCTGGAGAGCTTTGATCTCCGTTAGAAGTCCGGCATAGGGGTGGTCGCTAGTGTCATCCCGGCTAAGTAACTGTACCACCTCAAATGCATCAGTTTCTGCGATGATTCGTCTTTCTCCTCTATCCCATGCCATTTTCAAACCAAGCAGTAGGGCCCATAATTCTGCATGTATATTGTTACCTCCTTCGACATGAAACATGAAACCTGATATGAACACACCAGCTTCGTCTCATAGCAGACCACCGCTGCCAGTACCCGTATTCAGCGACCAAGCTCCATCCACGTTAAGTTTCTTCCAACCCTCAATGGGTGCTGACCATCCTGCTCGTCGGTCACTCACTTGGTGCCCGTTGATTTTCGTGCCTGCAAGTTTCTGACGCGCTCGGGCAATGCTCTAGATTATTATCCTGGCTTTGGTTATCAAAGCCTCATTGCTTGTATGCTTCTGTTTTGAAGATTCGAAGGTTGCGTCGTTTCCATATTAACCAGCATATCGTCGTGAATAAGCTGCTCCAGTCCTCACTTCTATGTGGGCACTTCTTCCGAGTGTTCTCCTGTATCCACGATGTTAAGTTTCCCTCGAAGAAGCTCCTGTGTATGGCTGGGGGTATTATCATAGTCCACAGCTGTTTGGTCTCTCTGCAATCCCACAACACGTGAATAGTAGACTCCGAGAAGCAGTTGCACCACGTGCACAGGGTGTCATTTGTCATTCCCCTGCGAGTACGCTCCTCGTTGGTCAACAGCTTATTCTGCAGGGCTAGCCAGAGGAAGGATCTACATCTCTGCATTTTGTCAATTTTCCACACCCATTGCCAAGCTATCTATCTATCTTCTCGTTCATTATTGATCACGCTATAAGCACTTCGGACGGTGAAGGGGCCATGTTTATCATGCTTCCATGTAACACTGCCAGTCGAGGGATTCAAAGTGCATCCATCTTCAACGAAACGCCATGCTGCTTTAATTCCCTACCAGGTATTCGATCCAGGTCGAGCTTGATTTATGGTTGGAAGTAGGCCGTCTCCACATTTATACTCGGTGCGTATAACCCGTACCCATAGGTCATTTGGTTTCTTTATGAGGTTCCATCCAAGCTTAGCCATATAAGCCAAGTTTTGCGCCTTCATTCTTTTGAAGCCCAACCCTCCATTATCCTTGGTCCTGCAGACGTTCTCCCACGCCACCAAGTGTGCTCGTCGTTTCTCTGTCGTGGAACCCCATAGGAAGTTTCGATTAAGCTGTTCAATCTCATTGCAAGTAGATGTGGGTAGTGATGCGGTTTGCATGGTATATCCTGGCATTGCTGACGTTACAGAATTAATTAGAGTAGCTCGGCCCGCAAGTGAGAGTGAGTTAATTTTCCAAGTCCCTAGACGTTGCTTCATTTTATCTACTACCCCGTGAAAGCTTGCAGCAGATACCCTTTGATGATGTAGTGGCACCCCTAGATATTTTCCCAGGTCGGCAGCCATTTGAAACCCAAGAAGGGTACTTAGTTCATTTTTTCTTGTATGATTAACGTTCTTGGAGAAAAATACCCGGGTTTTTGCCGAATTGACTTTAAGTCCCGAGCTTTGACAGAACATATCCAGGCAGCTTCACACCTGCATTGCTTGGGAGGTAGAAGCTTCCACAAATAATAGGATGTCATCAGCAAAAAAAAGATGTGAGAGTGGGGGACCTGACTTACAGAGCCGTATAGGCAGCCATGTATGGGATTGAAGTCGTTCCTGGATTAAGTGTGCTAGTTTTTCCATGCACAGAACAAAGAGGTAGGGTGAGATTGGGTCACCTTGTCTCACACCTCTACTGGGGGTGAAGGAACCAGCGACTTCCCCATTCCAAAGAAGTTTCATAGTAGGTGAGGAGATGCATCTGATAATAACTTCGATGAGATGGCTAGGCAGATTTATCTCCGTGAGGCAATTCCTTAAAAAGTGCCAATTAACTCTATCATAGGCTTTCTCAAGATCAATTTTAATGGCCATAAACCCTTTCTTCCCCGTCATATTTCGCATAGTGTGCACCACTTCCTGGGCTATTACAATATTATCTGAACTGTGCCTTCCTGGGACAAAACTGCACTGATTTAGGCTGACTATCTTTGGCAGTATACCTTTTAATCTGTTTGCCAAGACCTTTGTGATTACCTTAAACACCACGTTGCAGAGGCTGATTGGTCGAAAATCCTTAACTTCCTCTGGGCACTCCTTCTTGGGTATTAGCGTAATAAGGGATTCATTTATGTCTTTGATCAGGGAAGGTTATCGCCAGAGTTTTTGGATCAGGTCACACACAGACTTTCCCACATGGGCCCACTGGCTTTGGTAAAATAATGCATTCAAAATGTCCGGTCCTGGCGCCTTTAATGCTCCCATATGAAATATGGCATCCTTTATTTCAATATCGGAGATTTCACAACCCATCCTATTCAATTCTCCAGTATCGATGGGAGGAAAAACGACGCTGCACTGAAGCTGGACACGGTGTGTCTCCTCTTCCTCGTACAAGGTTGTGAAGAAGGACAACACTCGAGCGTGAATAAGTTTTGGGTCGTATATCCATGCATTTGAATCGTCTTTTAGTGCCCCTATAAAATTACGTCTTCTGTGTCCATTGGCTCGTGTGTGGTAATAGCGAGTGTTTTTATCCCTGTTTATTTGCCATTCACTTCTAGCTTTTTGTGCCCATATTAGTGACTCTTGTAAAAGTGCTTTTTCAAGTTCCTGCCACAGCTGCTGTTGGAGTTTCTCAAGTTTCTCAGTTAGACCGTAATTTGCCTCTGCTCAGGAGATGCCATTTAGCCGATTCATGAACTTTTTTATTCAAGTCCCGGTGAAACCAAAGACCTGTTTATTCCATTCTGTGCACGCGGTGGTGAAGCTTGAGACGTTCACAGTCCAAGGGTTGTCCCCTATCCAATTTTCTTGAACGAAATGAGGGAAGCCATCGTGGAGTACCCAAGCTGCGAGGAAGCAAAATGGGCATGTACCTGTGCGTGGTTGCGACAAGCCATCTGTTTGGAAAAGTAATGGTCAATGATCAGATCTGTACCATGGGAGGTGGGTTACTGTGGCATTCGGGAACTCATGCAACCACCTTTCTGACCCCAAGACCCAGTCTATGCGACTTGTATTGCCTATGCTTTTCCACGTGAATGGAGGTCCTATGAATCCCAGGTCCGTGAGGCTAACCGAATCAATGAAGCGGTAGAAGTCTCGGTCAGGTTCTCTAGTCTCTCTTGCAGACTGTCTCTCCGTTGACAGTAATGTAGCATTAAGGTCCCCTCCAACGCACCAAGGCCCTTGTATTCTACCAGCTAAGTCTGTCAACGATTGCCACAAAGCCCGCCGCTGTGAGGGTCGAGGGCTTGCATAAACACACGTCATTTCCCAGGTTTTGTGGTCAATGCTTTCAATTTGTAAGTGGATGAATTGCTCTCCATGTTCTAAGACCTCCACCTGCTTAAACCTGTCCGACCAGAGGCACCAAAGGCCACCCTTATATCCATCCGCATCAACAAGATGCATATTTCATAGACCCAGCTGCATGGCTATCTGCTTAGCCTTATTTCTGCCGCATCTTGTTTCAAATATTGCAACGAAGTCCAACTTATGTAGAGAAACCAGAGCACGAATCAACTTTGGGAATGAACGGGCCTCTGTCCCGCGTGTGTTCCAAAGGAGAGCATTCATTGGGAAACCACATCGTTGGGAGAGGCGGCAAGCCTCGAGTTATCCTCATGGTTCGTAGCTGACGCCACATCAGTATCCAAATGCATGGAGTTATCATCATTTTGGGCCAATCGTGGTGCATTCTCCACTGATAAGCCCATCTCACTTACTCGGCCCATTTCACGTAGCTTTGTTTCATGGGCTTCCTGTCCGCTACTCATGGCTAGCTATAGGTCCAAATTTTGATCATTTATCAAGACCTCAAAGGGGTTTGTAAAGGCCACGTGGGTGCCCCCATCTGCTTGAGTTGGTTTCTTGCCCTCACGTGCTTGGATTTTAAGAGCCTGAGAATTTTCTTTGCCACGTGGGCGTCTTTTGACTGCTACTTTCTCTTTGCTCCTACTGGGGCCCATTCCTCATTATTATTATCCATTGATTTCCCGAATCTATGCTCCTCTTCTCTGCTCATATCCATTCCTTCATCCGCACAAGCTCTATCCTTGGAGATATCTCTTGGGCCACGTGTCCCTACTCCTTTTTGACTGTTACTTTGAAGATTAACTCCCTTTTTAATACCCTGCGAGTTTGGCATCCCTCGAATCTCTGCATTAAAAGGTTTCTTCCCAAAATCTCTCTTAACCAACATTTAGGGTCCGTAATCTCCTCCTTTAGATCTGCCTTTATTTTTCCGGATTTGCGGTGTTTCCCCATTGGGCTTCGCTTCGCCGGCAGGCTGCTCGGCTGTATGCTTCTGATTGTCGCTGGGAGTTTCTTGGTTCTGGTTCTCCGATCGTCTCCAAGTGCAATGATCCATCCGGTGACCGTAAGTGCCGCAATTGAAGCACACTAAGTGAAGGCCTTCATACTTGATTTTCCTCTCTTCACCAAAGTGATCGAAACTCGGTAACAGTGGCTGTTCTAAGTCCAACTCAACGCAAATTCTGGCAAACCCACCCTTTTCAGAGAAAGCCGTCGTCCTATCTATCTTGAGCATCTTCCCGACCAAGTTACCCAGCCTTCGAAGAGATTCCACATTGTAGAGTTCTACCGGGAGGTCTGGGAATCGAATCCAAGTGGCAATGCGTTTCTGGTTATCAGCCTTCCATGGGTTGAAGTTCGGGCACCACCTCTGGACAAGTAGATAGTGATCCGCAATCATCCAGGGGCCCTCTTGGAGCGCAAAGTCTCTGTCTTCTGGAATGGAGAAAGAGACGATAAAGTATCCATTGTTCAGAGGTGTCACTTTGATAGGATGCTTTGCCCACATCTTCTCCATCCGTCCCCTCATAAACCCCACACTAAAGGTCTTCCCTAACAGTTTCACAATCGGTGAATTAATGTATGGTTTGCACCATGCAGCATATTCATCCGCCGTAAACTTCAGTGAAGGAATGATCCCCTTCGTCCGCCATGCTACCTTCTATTCTTCTTCCACTTCTTCCGTCGTCATCTCCTCTTCTTCGTCCTCCTGTGTCTCCTTCATACTGCATTTTCTAAAGTAGCTCTTCCACCCACTCAACGCTTCCACCGCCACCTTGTTTGATTCCAAGAATCCCATTGCTCCTAGGCTCAGTAGTTTGTCTCTGTAGGAGGTACCACTACTACCAGCCGTCTTCGGACCCCATCCCTCCTGACCAGGTTTTGGCCCTGTCTTTGGTAAGATGCTACTGCTTCGAAACACCATCTCCGGCCGGCTTCCATCCCTTGCATTCGCTCTTCCAGTCTCACGCTCTCGTTCACCATTCTCACATCTCTCGCTCTCTCGTCCATCGCTCTCGCTCTCCATTGCTTTTGGCCAGTGTTGGAAGTGTTGATTTCATTCTCAGAGTTCTAAGCAATAATAGTGGCGTCTGTAACGTCGAAGAGGACAAATATTTATTTATTATGTCTACAATTCAAGAATGTCATATACTACTTTAAATTATTAGAAATCACGGTTTACTCGTAACAAGGTTATGACTTATGAGTTTCAATATTAATTAATTGAGATTCTTAAGGTGTCCTTCACATGCATCATCATAATAATAATAAAAAAAAAGACAGTATATTATAGGGAGAATCCCAATTAAATCCAGCCGAAATACCTAAATTCAGATTTAGGCCTACACTTTTAGCAAATTCCTAATTAGGCCATGAGATCTAATTAGGGATTTTTGAATGTTGTTAAATCACCAAAATGTCCCTCTTCAATTAAAAAGAAAACTTGATTAATATACCTCTCCTAAGTAATTCCTCATCTCTTATGATTTTTTTAGACCAAAAAACATATAAGTAATTTTACAATGTTTGAAATTTGTATATATAACTTATACTATTAAAAATATTTTAATAAAACATGTTAAATTACAAATATAAGTAAAATTATAAATATTTTTTATTTTCAGTTCTTGTAATTTATGTTAGTTTTATTTATTTAAACAATGTTGGATCGAACTGAAAACGTAAATGATTACGATTTAATATCAAATTTTTATTATAATTAAAATATTTTAAAATTTTAAAATAAATATTTACAACCTGAAAAGAAAAAAATATTAAAAATATTTATTTAAAGATTACATATATTATAATTTGAAATGTTTTATGAAAATATTTTGAAGATTTTAGTTATATTACAAAATTTCAAACACTAAAAAATTATTTATATTTTTTTGTCTAAATATTAATAATAAGAGATGATGACCCACTTTAGAGGGATAAAATAATCAATTTTCATTTTTAACTAAAGAGGGGCATTATAGTTACTTAACAATATTCAGCAATTCCTAATTAGGTCTTATGTCCTAATAAAGAATTTGTTAAAAGTGTAGGCCTCAATTTAATTTTAAGTATTTCAGCAGGATTTAATTAGGATTTTCCCTATATTATAATAGCTGCCTGATATATAAAGTTAATATTTTTTCGAAAAATGTTAGCCTTGATTCTTCCTCATTGTTAGCTACGCTTAGGGTTAAATTTCCAAAATTATTGAAAGAATATTTTAGTTTTTGGCCAGTCATATATATATATATATATAAATTTATATATGTATATATCTGCTATATATAGCGCTCATTAGAGTATTAAAGTCTCTTCTCTCTAAACGACAACATAGTGACCTTCTTTAATTGAGGCGTCCGCGATTTGCGTAACAGAGAACAAGACGAATATTTTTTTCATCAGTTTATCAGCAACCATTCACTCCAAATTGTTTTCATTTGACACAACGAAAATTGTTAAAATATGTCAAAATCTATACATCGATGAATTATTCCCTTTCCCTTGCCTGAGCCATACTAAACGTATTCAAAACGCACTTTAAGGATTTGTTTGGTTCAACGGAGGGGAGGGGATGTTAATTAATGCGATGGGAGAGGAGGAGAGAGGAGCTTATGAGTCTTGTTCGGTTGGATGAGAAGGAAGTGGAGGGAAGGTTTCTTGTTTGGTTTAGGAGGAGAGGGGGGCTAATTATAAGTTAACAAATATGTCCTTATCTCTTTATTTAGATTTTTTATTATTTTATTATAATATTTATATAATTATTATTTTCTAATTTATGAATATAAAAAAATCAGTTCTCTTGAGACATAACAAATAGATTATAAATAATCATAGATCAAAATAAATGTCAATCAAAAAAGTATATTATAATCTTTAGCATATTACATAAATTATAAATAAATTTAGGGTTAATATAATCTTTGGTCCCTCAAGTTTGCTTTCATTTTGGTTTTGGTCCCTCAATAAGCAAAATGGTCCAAGTTTTCATTGAATTACAAGAACCAATGTTTTAAATGAAAAGAAACTTGAAGGACTAGAGCCTATGATTTGAAATTTGAGGGGCCAAAACCAAAGTGAACGTAAATTTAAAGGACCAAAGTTTGTATTAAACTATAAATTTATGCAACAAGCTTTGAAATGTTCCATCCTTAATTAGATAACATACGCGGCCTCATGTGCTTAATTGGATAACACACAAAATTTTATGTAAAAAAATGAAATTGAATTAAAATAGGTATATATGGACACGAATATCAACAAATTTGGCGATTTGATAATATTATTTTAATGGATCTCAACGACTCATATAAACCCAAAAACAATAGCTTCATATAGAATAAATGAATGAAACAAAATACTAATAATACTGATAAGATAAATGAAGTGGGGAAACAGACAAGAGGAAAAGAGAGGGAAGATTAATGGCAGAGAGCGTGGGGAATGATGAAATTGAAAAAAGAAAATATGTTGGAAAAAGAAAAGAACATGTGAGGAAAGTGAGGAAAAAAAAAATGAGTTTTTACTAAAAAGGATAAACTATGAATATCCAAAAACTAATATAGGTAACTTGGTTGGAATGAAACATAATATTTTTTCTCTTTCAAAAAACCCCAAATCTGGAGGGGAGGAGAAAGAGTGGAGAGGAGCACTAAGACAATTTTTTTTTCCTCCCGTCCCTTCCCTTTTTTTCCCGAACCAAACACAATTTCCCCTTCCTCCCCACCAAAAACCTTCCAACCAAACAGTGCATAAGATTATTTTGAAAAAAGAGGCTTTAAGATTATTGACATGTTCTTGTGCGTCAAGGATGGGTAACGTGTTGATCGGTTATAAATATCATCAGTCAAATAAAAAAATAATATTGACGTCAATCTATGTCGTTTTCTTCTGCAAGTAACAAGAATTGTCTATAAATACCTCGTGGATAAATTCACTTCCATGCAAGCTTATTTGAAGTTTCATTTCTCACTAACTGAAACAGCAAAATAAGCATGGCTTTCTACACTAGTATGTCTCAGTTTCTTTTTCCCTTGATCTGGTGTTCTATTCTGATTTGTCTCTCTTCAGGATTCCCTACCAGTGAATCATCAGTTTCCCCTTCAAAGGCTGAACAAGACTTTGAAATGTTCCAGCAATGGATGGCGGAGCATGGAAGAGTCTACGCAAACTCTGAAGAGAGCAACACTAGATTCCAAATATTCCAGAGAAATCTCAAGTACATCACCGTGACAAATGCCAAGAGATCCAATTCCTCTGGTGCCTATCGTTTGGGACTCAACAAGTTTGCTGATATGAGTCCTGAGGAGTTTAAGAGAGTGTACCTCCATCCCCTGGAGGTTCCGACCACCATCGCGCCGGGTACCTCGAGGTCGGGACGTAGGCAGCACAACAATTCATGTGAAAGTGCACCTTCCTCCATGGATTGGAGATGACTCCTGTCAAAAACCAGAAAAGATGTGGTGAGTTGCTCTTGTATATATATATATTATTGAAGAACATAGAGTTAAAATACATGCTATAAGAAAAGAACACAAGTTTGAATTCCCAAAAACGCACTTCGAGCTTTAATCTCAACACTTCCTGCCCCAACAAAAATTAGTCACTATTCTTGAGGATATTCTAAGTTATATTTATATAATTCTTTGGAACCTCAAAGGGCTAATACCTCGATTAATGTTTCATGGTTCAGGAAGTTGTTGGGCATTCGCGACCACTGGGGCAATCGAATCAGCGAATGCAATAAGAAACGGGGAACTTGTTCGCCTTTCTGAACAAGAACTTCTGGATTGTGACCTCACCAACCATGCTTGTTCAGGAGGATTTCCCGTGACGGCCTTTAAATGGGTTGTCAAGAATGGTGGGCTCAGTAAAGAAGATGATTATCCTTATGTGGGGGAAAAGGGTCATTGCAAAGCTGAAAAGGTTTGTTTCTTTACTTGTGGAGATTTTGAAGTATATTTATATATCGTTTCCTCATCTGATTTGTGCTTTCTTTATGTTCCTTCAGAAAAGTGTTGTGAAAATAAATGGCTATGAACGTGTAAAGCAGTCGGATCATGCTCTCTTGTGTGCCATCGCTAATCAACCTATTACGGTGGGTTTGGATGCAACACCACTTCAATTTTATCAGGGCGTAAGTCTTAAGCTTAATCTTCGATCAGTCTTTTTAGTTTTAAATTCGATGGTTAATTAGTTAACCATCAATCTCATAAATTTTTTCTAATTATTTTTGTTTTATTATTTTTCCAGGGGATTATTGATGGTGAAAGTTGCCCCATGGGAACTCAGCCAAATCATGCAGTTTTGATCGTGGGATATGACTCAAAAGATGGCAAAGATTATTGGATTGTGCAGAACTCATGGGGAGAAGATTGGGGAATGAACGGATACTTCTTGATTCAAAGGAATTCAAAAGCGCCAAATGGAGTTTGCTCTATTAATACTGCCTCTTCATACCCAACCATATAGACTAGTACCACTAAGTTGCCGTCAATTTCTGATTTGGCGTTGTTATGAAGTCTAAGTATGTCTACCCTAAATTTTAAATAAAGAGTCAGAAACTATTGGTTATAATATTTTTATGTATTTACCATCAGACTCCTACTCAGATTTATCAATTTTACTTTTGATAGCATATTACTTTAATTTTAAGAAATAATGCGAGTCTATGAGAAAATATGCATATCTTCTTCTTCTCACCCCCTTTTCTGTACAAGATAAAAAAATGTGCGCCTTATTATACATACCCCCCTCATTCCTCATAAGTGGTTTATGCCTCAGTTTTTTACAAATCTCAAACGAATAGGACACTGACAAAGTTACTTTAGGAACATATAATTTGTTCTATTTAAAATAAAATACTTCAAAAGCCTCAATAACTATAGTAGATCGTTCGTAAATATAACATAATAAAATCATTTAATTAGCAAAACTAAAAACAATCATTTGGACAGACCCAACGGGAGAGCATATTTCATGCTCATCACAATAATGAACATGGAGTGGTCATTGCAATTTGGACCATCTAGATTAATTTTTGATGGTTCAGATTGAATTTAAATTTTTTATATATTTTAATCAATTTTTTGTTTTAATAGATACAGAATTTAGCATAAATATAATATCATAACTAACATATCTTTAAAAAATAAATTTATTATTGAAAAAATTGTATATTAAAAATTTTAAATTTGAACCCTCCATATTAGATTTTGAATGGTTTAGATTGTATCACAATGATGAGCACATCGTACTCACCATTGTGATGAGCACTGAATGAAGACTCAAACCTGAGTTAATTCAAATTGAAAGCCAATCAACAGGGATCTGGATTTAGTAAGTTTCTATTATTAAGTTTACTTAGTCTAAATAAAACTATTATTATTGTTGTTGTTGTTATTTATAAAATTTAAATTATTTAATTTTAAGGGTTTGTTAGAATTAGGAGTATGCATGGACCATACTAGACTAGGTTGATGCTCAGCCTGAGGTCTTGGTTTGATAAAGGCCTCAGGCTGCATAATGTAGCCCATGGTCAAGTCTAATCCAATACAAACTTGAAATTGGGTTGGACCAATCTTGGTTTAGGGGACTACCTGGACCAGTCTAAGTGGTCAAGACCTCATTTATTTATTCTTTAATTTAGACAAATAAAAATGATGAAAATAAAAAAAACAAAAAAAAAGAATCCGCACTCCATCCAAATGCTAAAACGGAAAAAAAAAAAAGAGTAGCCAATGAAAATAGCAAAAAGAATCTATGGGTGAAAAAAGAAAAATCAACAAAACCATCCAAATTCCAAATTCCCAAATGTGGAGAGTGGAGACTTCGCCTATGTGGGAGGGAAGACTGTGGAGACTAGAGAGAAGAACATGATGCTTGTCGAGAGAAGCATGAGGAGGGGGGTTGTCAAAGAGGAGGGGAAAAAAAAATTTCCCATAAAATGATAGTTGAATTTATTCAAATAGTCACTTAAACTTACAAAATTTTAAATTAGTCATAATGACTAAATTGAAATTTTTAAATGTTGGTTAATTTGCAATATTGCCCTTTATTTGTTTTAAAAAAACCTCAAGTCACTCCATTGACCGGTCGGCTGCTGGAGCTCTAGCAAACAGCAACTATTTATTGGAATTTTTTTTTTCAACTTTTAATGATTTACAACCCTTCAATGATACTCACAACTTCATTAACGCTATCAACCGTATTTTTTTCAGCCTTTTAAACCAAAATTCTTTTAACTTTCATAATATAATTAACAACTCTTATAACAATATTCACAACTTCAATAACTATATTAAACACGTGTTTTTCAAGTTTTTAAACTGAGATTTTTTAACGTTCATAATGTTGTTAACAACTCCTATAAAAATATTCACAACTCTATTATTGCTATTAACCACTTTATATGATAGGTTTTTAAATTGATATTATCAATTTAATACATACTTTGGTTAGTTATTTGTTGATTTCCTTATTATAAATTTTCAAATTATATGTAGTGTAACTACACATTGATAAAAGCCCATTACTATTTATAATCAATAGGGATATCTTAGAAAAAAATTATAAATGTGAAAAATAAAGTAGATTAAAATTTTATATTTAGAATCAAAGTAAACTCTTATCTAGTTCCTATATTTAAAACCAGAATTAGTATGTCTCTTATCTTTAATATAGGACCTAATTAGGTAGTTGATGTTATTCTTGTATGGAAGATATATTTCATGTGTTTATCAATTTTTTTCAAATTAACCCTATTAATATTTTCTTAACAATAATCAAGGGAGATAGAGGGAAGGAATTAAGAAAGATATTTAGGATGTTTTAGGGAAAAAAAATATTCCCTCCATCCTTTTTTATAAGAAACCTTAGACTCCATTACACAGATCAAAAAGTCAGTTAAAGAAAATAAATAAATAAAAATTAAAAGTAAATACCCTTATTTATAGGGAAAAGGGAGAGTATGAGAAAGAGAATAAAAAATTATTATAATAAAGAGAATTATGAAAGAGAGAAATTGTTGGTGGAAAGAGATGATGGTTTGAAAAATAAGACAATAAATATATTGGATATTAAAATAAATAATTAATGGGGACAAAATAGAAAATTTGCTACAAAAATTTGAGACAACTTGCAAATGTTACTTGTATTTAGAGATAAGAGAATATGTAGTTATTGCTTATAAAAAGGAACGAAGGGAGTAACTAATGAGCATTTTTTAATTTTACCCTTCTTGACTTAAATAGATGAGAAAAAAATATAAAACATGTTTTTTATGCACCCTTCTTTTAATAAGAGCAAAATGTGAAAAAATTATTAATTTAATATATTTCTTGGTTTGTGGGATTATAGTGTAAATGACTTATAAATAAGAATAGAGTGGCTTACATAAAACAGGTTTATCAATAACCATGAACCATAATCAAACTGTTGTTTATCACCCCACCCGTTTTATATACTTCTTTAGGGAAAAGTAATTTGGAGGTCCTTATAGTTTTCCTCTATTTTGAATCAGGTCCTCAACTTTTTTTTTCCTTTTTATAGGGTCCTTTAACTTTTAGTTGTTACACAATAGTTCTTGCTATTAAATAAGATCAAACATCGTTAAAATTTTTTGTTAGAAAACGCAGCACCACGTCCGAAACATCTTCTCCATTGAAATATCTTCATCGTCTGTGTCTACCCTCGTACCCGAGCTCTTAGACCAAGCTTTCCTCCATCATTCGCTTACTCCATCAACATCTTCTCCTTCCCCTCCTTAACTCAAAAAATTCAAAATGGAGAATAGATCATCACATATATTAGCAAAGACAAGAACAATGCACTTTTAGTAATTCCACAATTCATCTGCAACATGCCCATCACAATCATTTATGTTCCATAACCACAGTCCCTTGCACATCCATCCCTCTTTTGAATCCATGTACACAACCTCCTTCACCAATTCCAATATTATTATCTCGCTTAGTTTCTCCAACTTAGTAGCTAGGTCCATTGTTGAAACCAGCCACAATGAGGACGGCTTCTCGATAGGCCGAACTTATCTGAGCAGCCTTCAGCAACCAGCACACCACTTGCATGTCTTGAGGAGCGAGTGACCCAGGACGAGGAAGGATGTTGATCAGCTCAGGGAAATCGAGAATTGTATAGCTTCCTTTGATGCTCCCAAAGCAGAGACATCATGTGCTTTGACTACCACTTTTAGAGTTTGGAATGTAACAAGTGAATTTCAAAGATGCAGTTACCCCAGTTTTGAAGTGAGAAAGTGTTATAGGTAAAGGAATGGTGAGGTCAGGAGCATGGTGAGAGAGAGAAGATGTTGAGAAGCGAGCTATGGAGAGAGGAAAGCTTGGCCTGAGAGCTTGGGTATGTGGGAAGAGATAGACAATGAAGATGTTTCAGAGGGAGAAGATGTCTCGGATGTTCTGCAGTGATTTCTAACAGAAAATTTTAACAGTGTTGGCTTTTATTTAACTGCAGGGCTAACACATGAAAAATGTCCAAGGACCTGATTCAAAATGGAGGAAAACTATAAGGACCTCCAAATTACTTTTCCCTACTTCTTTGAGCATATGTATAAGACATTTTTTCACATAGGCTAAAAATAACATTAAATCGTATTAAATTTATGTTAAAATATAATAAATTTTCAACTATGCCCTTATCTAATATATAAACATTTCAAAAGGAAAAAAACCTACCTACACCATAGTAAATAAAAGACAAAATAGTACATTTATGCTAAAAATTTAATGAAGTGACTTATAAATAGGACAAAGAAAAATCTTCTCTCTACTTTATAAATCATATAAGAATTCTTTTTAATAGAAATGGCTTATTTTTGCTTATAAGAGACACTAATAATCTTTTTGGATGTGGGTGTTTGGAAAGGTCCACAATCACTTAAAAAAAATGCTTTTACATAAATCGAGACAAAATTAGAGCTAGGAAAACAAGCTGGCATGTTTAAACCCATTTAAGTTAAGAGCTGCGCTTGTAATTTGGGGTATTCAAAAGGAACTTGGACTTAAAAAGGCCAGCCCTGTAGGGCTCAACAAAAAAGGGCCAACCCGTTTAGGCCCGCCAATAGTAATTTTTTTCCTTGACCCTAACTTAAATCCCTAACATTTTACATACTCTTCTTCTCTAAGTTTCACTTTCAGTCTTTCACTCACTCTCAACTCACACCTCAAACTCTAATGATATTAAAATAAATAAAAATATATTCTTCATATCCTAAATCAGATTTCAAATTTGTATTTATTTGAACCAATAGTTATATATTAAAATAAACAAACTATATTCCCCATATTAAAACAAAAATTTTAATGATTGAACCAACAGATATGTATCAATTTGTATATATGTTATAAAGTTTTAACAAATAAGTTAACACTTTTTCAATAGTGACTATATCATAATTTTTACTTTATCTTTAAATAGAGTTAAAACAAGCGAGTTAGACA